TTGTATGATATGGAACACAGAACACATATTGGATTTCCAATTTCTTCTAATTCTCTAGACGATTGGATAAGCTGTCTACAGGAGATCTGCTTGAGTGCCATGAAAGATTGAAAACAAATTATTGGATAATAAAGAGTAACACATGCAAGCTTTGCAAGAAAAGATTGGGTCTTGTTTTATGATAGAAATATTTATCTGTACGAGTTCTAAACTTTAATGAATAGTTTGCTTGATTTGTAATTTGAAATATTTTATTTTAACTTTTGCTCTTATTGGACAGGCATCTGAATAAGAACAACTACCTCTCTATTTTTTCAATTAAGATAAGAGGCCGACATCAGTGGATCACACATTCATTTGTATGTTTTGAACTGTGGTATTTTTGGGGTGTGTCCCGAGAACAGCTTGTTGAATTAGGTTGTACAGTACAGTAAATACTTTAATTCTGCACTGCAAGGCAATGTTTCTTTCTTTTGTAATAAACTTGTTTCTCATTCTTTATTTTTATACCCAACTTTTCGTTCTCTAATAAAATCACAAGTTTGTGTAAATTCTCACACTGATTGAATGTTCTCATGCAGGACAGCACACTGGACAATAAGCTGAGTGTGAAGATTAAAAACAGGTTTTTTTGAAAGAAAAAAACTTAGGTGGCTAATCTAAATTGAAGATATGTTATTTTAATAAATTTAACCAAAAAACACATGTATTCCTTACCAAAATAAAATTACCCTGATGAGATGATTCATCTGTCATTTTGCATATTATGTTTATATATAAAAAATTAAATCTTTGCTTTTCTCACATAAATGCTTATGCAACTATGGTGTAATTACAAAAAAACTGAGATAAAGAACTTCTCGTTGCTTAAAAAAATATCACATTTAGTCGCATTAACATTTCAAGGTAGATCATTCTAAAACTTAGTATTTACAAAACACAAACCCTTAATCTTAATAATAGCAATACTGAGCTTAAGTCATTAGGATGCAAAGTTTTTATTTCTACACGATCTTATTGCGTACCTACAAGATCCTAAGAACAGTCATACTTCGTAATGGGTCTTCTGCATGACACTTCGTAAAAATAGCTGGTTTATTTCCTAAAATTTGAATGTGGAAAAAGAACACACCATAATGAAAATGTTTTTTTTTAATACAACATTCTAAAAACATCAAAATTTAAACCTTTGTCAGTCTTTAAAACTTTAGCAACTGTAATCACATATTTTAGTAATATTTACGTACAACTGACTTTTTAACTTTCATTCAAATTATATACATATAGAGTATGTTAAAAAAGCCTTCCATTTTTTTCTGTAAACCCAAAACTACTTTAAATTTGTGACACAGCTAAACCAAGATTGTTTTAAAATGTTTATGTTTTCTAGCTGAAAGCATTATTTCTTAACTACATTTATAAGTTAATTTTGCCACTGTATGAGTAAATCACAAGTTTTAAACTCTGCACTCCATGTATAGTATTCCAAAATAGAATACAATTTTATTTATGTACTTAAGAAACTAACATATCCTCTGATTACAATAAACATCAGAAAACAAAATTATTCCTTTCAAACTTTTGTTTTTTGGCAGCAACACTTTCATATTTTGATTTTGTGTTTTACTCTAGTGATAGTACTTTTATCTAATGGACGCACACTAAAAAAATTAAAAACATAAAAAATATATATATATATACATTATATATTTATTAAAATCACCATTGGAAACTTTGAAGTTTCAGTTCTAACATAAATCAAACATTATCATCTATAAATTCATAAAATTAAGTCCTTGAAATTATATAAATAAAAACACACTTCATTATTTAAAAAAATTATGCTTGAAGTTACAATTGCTTGAGTTTTAGAGAGTTTTAATACCCAACTAACAAGAAAATACTTCACAATACTCGTATCCAAGAAACGTTTTCAATGGCTAAACTATTTAAGTACATCTTTCATGTACAAGTGTCCAAATTATAAGTTAGCTTTTGAATTAAAATACACAAATTTACACTGTACATCTATAATTAAACACTCTTGCATAAAAAATAATAATTGGAGATCACTTGGATGGCAAATGATTGGTTAGTTATAATTAATTGTTAGGCCTAATGTTAGTTATTACTTTTAATTAGTAACAAGTAGGAACTTTTATCTTGGATTATTAATAATAATGGGAGACAAATGGATTCCGTGGTTTTGTTCCGTAGATTGCTCTATACTGAAAGGTACATGTACGTGTGATAAGAAACACAGGAAAACTAGAACTAGAATTTGCCTCGGTTGCTTAAGTTCAGGATACTACGGAGAAGATATATCAAACTAGGAAAAAAAGCACCTTTTTTTCGTTATGTATTTTGAAGGTAAAGATGAAAATTAATGAAAACCTGAAGAATTATCAATCAGAGATTTATGAATAAGAAGGTGTTAATTAGCTATTCCAAGTGTTAGGTGGAGGTAAGAAACTTTGTGAAGGATTAAACGACAGATTATTGATCAGGTTTGTATCAAGATAAAGACATTTTTTGAGCCATAAAGATCATTTTGTGATTTTAGATTAATTCATGGAAATAAATTAGTTATGCTAAAATATGAGTTTGGTCCCTTCTGTACTAACATTTGAAGTTTTTGTATTAAGTCACTGGAAGATCATGATCGTACTTATTTAAAAAAAGGTTTTCAAGATTTTTCGTGAGGGCTAATAAAAGAAAAAAGGATAATTTTTGTTGTATAAAATTGGTTGAATGCTTATTGTGGGAAATGATGTTGCTAAAGTTGACAAAGGTGAGAAATATGTTCAGGTTGAACTTCCTGAACAAAACAAACAGGTTTACTGGTGTATCTTCCTGACCACCTTTGACAATGATAAGAGCAGGTATGCTGCTAACAGTTAGAGACTTATCATTATTTTAAGGAATTGACTGAATAAGTTTGTTCTCTTTGTATACAAAAGAATTTCGTGAGTTTGTGGGAAAATGTTTCCTTACCAACGTTAGTAGAATCCTTATAGCAAAGATGTTATTTTATGCCTTATTTTTAGTACTATAGATGTATTTAATTTTGTACTTCCAATGAAATGATAGATATTACCTTTTATGTAACTTTTTAAATCACAATTAATGTACACTGTTGCTTCAAGGATAGTTTATGCAGTCAGTGTAGATATGGGAAAGTTTGGGTTTTAAATAATAATATGTGGCAGGAATTTGGGTATGAGATCCTCTGAGGTCAAACCTCGGGGGATTACCAAGGGTGCTCAGAAGCTTTAGCTTCTTTTCACCTCTCTCATGATGGTGGTGTGGGCTGTGCTTGAACTTTAGTGGTTTAAGCTTACTTAAAGAAGATTATGTTAACATGGCAGATTTGTAGATGCCTTAAGCAGTCAAGAGAGCCATGAATAAGGGAGATCCAGACTCCACAAACCAAATGGCCCCTATAGGACAAAGGGTCCTTCAGGGTGTCAGGGATCTATAAATCCAAAACCAGAAAATGTTGCTGTGGGGGGAAATGGGAGTACCCCGAGAAAGCCTACTTTCATGGTCCAGGTATCTAAAAAGTATGTCCAGGCCATGCCCAAGAAAAGAAAAAAATTTAGGTTTTAATGGACTCCTTCTGCCTACTTATAGTGCGACAACATTTTTATAAACAAGCAGAGATAGTCCATTAAAGCTAAAAATACCATAATGTGCAATCTCATACCTGATTCAAAGAAAAGTCATTTTCAGAAGCTTCCAGAATCAAATATTGTGTGACTAATCTAAATTAGAAAGTATTAATAAAGTTAGGAATAATTTTGTTAATTCAATCATATTAAGTGAAAGTCAACACATTACGTACAAAATTCTTTAATTTTGCATTCTAATCAAAAGACTTTTGTCATTTTAACAGATGAAAAGGGAAAATACGTTTAATAAATCAATAATTTTTCGATTATGAGGATACAACATTTAATAATCAACAAATGAAAAGGTCAAAACCTGGTGTAAAAGCTAGGAATCTCTTGGCTCAAAACATCAAATCTGATCTGAACACGAGGGATTTTATTTCATGTTAACCCATGAAGGAGAAGAGTTACTCAGGCTGACCAATTTCTTTAAAAGTAAGGAGAATTTGTACTAAAATCTATTTACCTTGAAAAAATTATTTTAGAGATATTTATTAAACTTTTTCTTCCAGAACAAATCTCACAGTTACAATGTAATTTAACTTAAAACCTTGAATTAGATTAATGGCTGGTGGAAAATGGTATTTTTAAAAGCCTCATACACCTATCACACTAAATATGAAATTCATTACTGGAAGATTGGCAGTTAATTATTATTATTTGAGAGAGCTGACTTGCATAGGCCATGAAGTCTGTTGTTATCTTTCCTTTTTTTTTATTTTTAAAAGAAACTTGCTTATGAAAGTCTAAGAAACCAGAGGGTTATTTGTTTGGCTTCTGTTATCAAAATGTTAATGAACTTTATGCAAAAAATCATTTAGAAAGAGAAGTTTCAAATAAATAACAAACTTATTTTGAATATTGTTTTAGACAAAAGTTTTCTTGCCTTAACAATTTGAGATATTTCATAAAAGCTTCCACTTTTTTGAATGAGAGCATCACAGTTATCATTGTGTATATAGACTTTTAAAACTTTTTGGTAAGGTACCCCACAAGAGGTTAATTAGTAAGTTGAATATTCATGAAATACACGTATAAGAAAAGGTTATGTAGTGGCTTAGTGGTAGAAAGCAAAAAGTTATGAAAAATGGGTGTTTTTCTGATTGAGAGAATATGGCCGTGTGGGTCTTTTCTTGAAAATTTTTTTATTATTATCTATATAATTGATTTTACCAGCTTCTTAGATCGTGATACTTTTAAACTTGCTGATGATATTAATTGCTGAGATGATCTAATTATGATGAAAATGATTCTCTTATCTAAAAGAATTTGGGCAAGTCTTAGTGAATAGACCAGAACATAGAAGCTGAGTTTTAAAACTGATAAAGTGCAGTTTGCCACACAGGGTACAGAAACTTGAAAAGGCCTTACTTAAGCTTTCATGTGAAAGTAGCATTTGGTTGTGACAAAAGAGGAGGCTTTCGGTGTGACTTTAGTGTCAATTAACCCCTAAAGCATTCTGATGGATCTTTAAATGTGGTAAAATGAGGCAAATAAATGTGCAGTTCTTTTTTTTTTTTACAAAGTTTGATTTTAACTGTTCATCATCCATTGAAAGGTTTTACCCCATTACCATAGCAGTGCTTTGACCACAACAAACTGGGCGTGAGGCACTTAAATGGTGCATGAAACATTTGGTGTATATATGGGTGGAGATTATAAAGAATTAAACACAATATCATTGTTGCCTTGAGCAAGGTTCTTGTGAGGCTCACTTTGAATCACTTCTAGTGGTGCTCAAATTTGTTACTTAACAGTTTTAGTGTTGGAATGAAAAGGTTTGAAATATTATAAATGAAAGCCATTAAACTTTCAAGACTGTATTTAATTTTGATTGGTTATTTTGGTATGCAAGGAATAACACTGATAGTGATGTTTGAAATTACCATTTCAGTTTTTCATTATGTTCTTATTGTCCAAAAATTAACGTGATTTTAAATTTTCTATGCAACAGGCTTAGTTACTAACTTAGTAACTAAGTTATACCATAACCACCTGCAATAAACACAGTCCTTAAAAATAAAATTAAAATGCATGTGACTGTATGAAAGTAATTTATTGTTTATACACTACAACTGAGTATTACTATTAGTAATTTAAATTTAAGTCAATACTAATAATATAACTTAGTCTTAAGTCCTACATATGCTTAAACTTTTATTAAAATATAAGTTATAATTTACATAACTTCTTAAGTTAACTAAAACTGGTCAAGTATTCGTTTAAATACTAATCAATCTAAACCTACTTTCAGTTTATTCTGAAATTTCTCCCAGTCTGACTCTAAATTCTAATTACAATGGCCAATGAGTCAGATTTTTAGTTTGGTACATATTCCGAGGACAATTAATTCATTTGTTTGACACTAGGCCTAAATATTCTGATTTACACTCCTAAGCCTAATCATAGGGTAAGGGTAAGTACACAAACGGCAATACTTCTTCTTTATCCACCCTACCTATTAAGACAACTCAGCCTGCACACACTCTGGCGTGAAACACATCTCAGTTTAATTACAACACTTTAAGTCTCGATATAAACCTTCATATCTTATTACAATTTTACAAGTTATAAGCCTAATTCTATGTGATGACGTCATGTGTCGAAAATTATAAAATGTAGGCCTTCTGAGCTTTGGATTAAATATAATTTATAATTCTTATTATATTTTTTTACAAAATATACTATCTTTACGTTTATAAAAATCTAGTAAAAAACCTTATTTAACTTCAAAATTAATTTTGTGTCTCTTTTATAATCACGTCCTGAGTGTTTTTATGGGATTACTATATGACCATTAGAAATGAGATCCTAATAGAATTTTTTGATATTTATTATAAGTTACATTATTAAAAATTATCACAATAATTCAAAAGTGACCCACTTTATTCAAAATTAGAGGGCGGGAAATTTGATAAAAGTGTAGCCATCTAGTGATGAGTTGTAGTACTAAAGGTGTTGTTATATGCTATGTTTTCTATTTTAAGCGTTTGTATTGCTGTTTCGCCACGTGAGGTAAAGTTCGGGTAAAATATATAATAGAGAAGCATAAATTGTTGAGTGATTTATAATTCTGTCTCAGTTAAAACTGTTGATTGATTATTAAGTCTGCTATCACTACACATTTTGCGTTTATATTTTCAATGAACGATTAGACACGAGAAGTACCGTTCGTACGATACGTTAGCAAGTATGTGCTTGTTATATGTGAAGTTAGGTCTATCGTTTGATAAGAAGAACTTTTAGAAGTTGCCTTTTTATTTACCAAGTAACACACCCACAAGACCTCGCTCACTAATAGAAACTGTAACAATATTGATTTCAGAATTGGAGTTATTTTCTTAAAAATAGATAAAAGTCAAGACATAGTTTCAAGAAGACGAAGCAAGTGTGAAATTTGATGTATATTATGACAGAGTGGCAAGAAAATCAAAAAGAGAGAATCAGAAAATTAAGAGAACATCAACAAGCTAGACATAGATCATTAAAAGATTTAGGAAAAGAAGACAACAAATTAATAAAAAAGGCAGAAAGATAAAATATTGTTACGTCTCCGTTTGTTAATTGATTTCCCGTAAGTTCGTTCCGACGAAACTTTAGCGACACAAGTCC